TCTTTCAGATTATAATAAGTTATTATCGCAACATTTTTCAAATCAAATGCCACATCAATGCCTATGGATTCTTGGAGAATCCACAGAATATTATGAGAAAGGAGATCAAGAGGTGTGTTCATGTAAGAGAAAAACCCCTCACTAAAACGCCTGGATCAAAATAGTTTAGTATGATCTTCAATGTCAGAACAGATGTAAAAAACCATTATAAATACTCACATGGACTTCCGTTTCAATCATTTTTGTACTCAAATATATATATATTTTTATCCCTTTGGGCAAACCTCTTAGTACTACTTATCTAGATGAATCAGAGAGAAACAATTTGGCATTTACCTCCACCTCTCCATTCACTTCCAAGGCTGTACTTTTGAAGGCTGGAAGTACAGGGGCATGAATCAAACCCTTCCTCCTTTCATTCGCTATAACCTACCCCTTCTTCTCCAGTTTCAATCATTGTGATAGTTGCAACACTGGTGATACAAGTAATGTTTAAGGAGTTTTTAAAAAAAGTTTTCTAAACATGTGTTTCAAATAAATAAATAAGCACTACAAGATTGAAATTGTACATACGAAAAGTACCAGCCCAAGCCATTTTGAAAGACTTATGTTATTTCATACGTGATAATACTGGCAGTAAATCTATCATCTTCTACAACAATGGACATGGTGAATAAACTGACAAGAACTAAGGACTCTTCCAGCACTGTCACTCCTCAACACATAACTGGAACTGGAAGATGCACAACAGATCTATGCAGTTTTCTACCTTAAACAGAGCCACAATACAATTTTTTTCCTTATTTTATTATTAATATTCCAGTTTATAATACCACTTTTTAGAAACTATCCACATAAACAGTTGAATGAAGTCATTACAGAAAATATTTGCCAATCTTTAAAACAGTCTATACATACTCAGCTGAAGTATCTTCCACAGAATTCAGGTAATATTAAAAAATAAAAACTGTGTTTAAAAATACCTATTCTTGCATATATATATAGTCAGAATACATCTCAGCTTTTAATTACACACCTATGAAACATTCCTCAAAAGTGTTATGCTTACTCTCTCCCCGTAAATTAACTCAAATGATTAGGCTTGATGCATCTGAAATGCAGTGCACAAATAATGATCAGAAGGAAAATTAACAAGTACTTTTAAAATATTTACTTCACATGATTAAACTTTTTCCAATGAGAGTTGCAATTCTCAGCCAAAGCATAGAGTTGGCTTGTATCAGAATACTAGCTGTGTTCTTCCACATTTCTCAGTGTTAAACTACATTCAAAAGAGTATACAATTGCGAAGTGACATCTTCCATGACAAAAAGCTTGCTGTAATTCCTATATGTAGGAGAAATTCTGCAGTAGAGTATCAATACAGGAGTGTTCTCCAGTGTTGCATGAGGCTTTAACAGGATGGCTCCCATTAATACATTTGCTGATAGCCGTCAGTCTCCAATGCAAGTTCAAGAAAAGTTGGATCCTGACTAATTCTCGTTCAGAAAAGAATATCCTAATTAAAAAAAACAACACTGAAAATTCACAGAATCACATAAAGTTTTTTGCCGCCACACAAAGCAGATGGAATGGGCTGCCCAGGGAGGTGGTGGAGTCACCATCCCTGGAGGCATTTTAAAAAAAAAAAAACAAAACAACTAGACGTGACACTTGGTGCCATGGTCTACTTGACATGGTGGTGTTAGGGCAAAGGTTGGATTTGATGATCCCAGAGGTCTCTTCCAACCTAATCAATTCTGTGATTCTGTGATTATCTGTGCTGCCCCTAACACTCTCACGGGAGGCAAACTCCTCACACACCGTCTGCGCTCATCCAGAGCTTTAAGAATCACTATTTCTTTGTACCTGGGTCTGGCTTTCAGACAGGTCTGCTTGTCCTCGGACACGGGAAGGCAAAGATGTGGCATTACTCAACTTGATGAAAATCAGCACTTCATGCTGACCTATCCAGTACCTTACAGATGATTTAATCAGCCCATTTGTATTTGTTCTAAATGCAAACAGTTTTACCCCTTATATTCATGGTATCTATTCTTGTATCTAAAGTTCCCATAGCCGTATCAGAGGATAGAAGAAAAGTAAATGGGAAGAACACATTCAAGTCC